GTTTCCTTTTCAGCTGAGGTGACTGTCTAAATTGAAGCCCATACTGTTCAAAAGTAACCTTGAGACAGTAATACATGCTTTCATAACATCCAGGCTTGATTGCTGCAATGTGATTCTTTTTGGAATCAGTCAGACCTCTATAGCAACTGGTCCAAAATGCTGCAGCCCAATTCTTAACTGGTACAGGCAAAAGAGAGCACATTACTCCAGTTCTGGCCTCCCTTCTTTGACTCCCGGTTCACATCCAAATTCAGTTCAAAATTCTTCTGTATGTAGGTTTATGTATTTTATGCTGTGCCCTTTGATTGTTTGCTTTTGCTATACAGCACTTTGGTTGGCCTTGTTGCCATTTTTAAGTACTTTAGTGTGGTATGATAAGGTATGGTATGGTAGATTGGCAAATATTTTGTGAGCCTGCGCAAGTTAAAGTCTCAGTTTCTTGTTCTTGGCTGACAGGAGTGGCCCCAGGTATGTCCCTTTGTTTCAGTGTTTTGCGTGTTGTGCGTTCAGAGATGGTTATCTGCATACCTTTGTTTTTAATGAGTGGTTATTAGAGCTACTGTTTTCTTGCTATCAACTCAAACCAGTCTAGGAGTTCTATTCTGACGTCTGACATCAATAAGGCATTTTTTTTTGTAAACACTTGGTTTTTAAAAATCCCAGGAGATTAACACTTTCTGAAATACTCAGACCAGCTTGTCTGGCACCAACAACCAAGCTGTGTTCAGCGTCACATACGTCCTCTTTCTTCTCCATTCTGATGCTCTGGTTGAACTTCAGCAAGTCGTCCTCACCATGTCTACATGACTAAATGCATTGAGTTGCTACCAGGGGAATGGCTGATCAGACATTTGTGTTCAAAATAAGAACAGGTGTACTTAATAAAAAAAGGTTGGTGAGTGTAGTAATATATGTTTAATAAAACTGTTTAAGGATTGTGTGGAAAGACACAAATCATTTTACAATACTCTAAACCATCCAATTCCATTTTTTTTGTTTACTGTAAATAAAAAAAAAAACATAAATAACAATCAGTCTTCGAAGAATTTAGCAGAAACAAGAATTGTGTTAATGCTTTAATGTACTTTTTGGATTTTTATTTTTTTTTCCATAACTTTAGAAAGTACTATAAGCGAATACTTGTTGGTGGTATATGCCTTTGCAACTTAAACAAATTCTGTATCTTGTGCAAGGTGATGAGTTTGGTTGAGGTCAGTTGATGATTAGATAAATAATTTTAAAATAAACATTTGTCATAAAATAAATAACAAATGGGGCTAATTTAAACATGGTTATACATTATTTTGTTTGGATGTTGTTAAAAAAGGTGTGCAGGAGCCAATTTGACAAATTTATGATGTAAATTATTAAATGTACGTCAATAAACTGAATTTTGTGAGAGCTTGAATCTGTTATGATAATAAAGAATAATACCGGTCTCCTAAAAGTAAAAAAAAAAGATTTACAAGAAGCTGCAGAATGAATAGAAAGGAATATGAAATTTTATTTAAAGGACAAAGGACGGTAAATTGTAACAGTATATGCGAACAATCGAGTAGCTGTTGCTGAATCTTACTCAGAGTCTCAACAAGACAATGAAGCAATCAACAATTATTTCTCTTTATTTTTTTGATTCTGTGGTTTTATGTTATAGTAACGACATATAAATTCCATAATGATGATTTTTACAGCAAATTCAAAATAGGAGATATTTTGAAACAACTTTTGAAATGACTTTAAAAAACCTTCATGTTCAGATAGAATAATATTTGTTTGTTCTAGTTCTTTTAGTAACAGCAAGACAATCGACTAATGATGGGGACTGAAAAACTTTTAACATTTCTACTAATTTTAACAGGTGAGTAAATAAATAAAAAGACAATGTTTGAAAATGGAAAAAAATAAATAAAACTTAAATTTATAAAAAATTGTCCTGTTTTACAAAATCAACAGTAACACCAAAACTAAAAACAGAAGCACAAACATCAGTTATTCAAACAACAACTACAGCTGCTCCCACAAAAACCAAAGCTGCTCCAACAACAACCAAAGATCATCCCATAACAAACACAGCTGCTCCAACAACAACCACAGCAGCTGAAACCACAACCACAGTTCCTCCCACAGCAACCATAGGAGCTCCAACAACAACTACAGCTTCTCCAACCACAACCACAGCTGCTCCAACAACCACAGCTGCTCCAACAACAACCACAGCTGCTCCAAAAGCCACCGCTTCTCCCACAACAAGAAAAGCTTCAACCACAACAACAGCTGCTCGAACCACAACCAAAGCAGCTCCAGCCACAACCACAGCTGCTCCAACAACAACCACAGCTGCTCCAACAACAACCACAGCTGCTCCAACCACCTCCACATTTGCTCCATCCACAACAACAGCTGCTCCATTCACAACAACAGCTGCTGCAACCACAACCACATCTGTTCCCCAAACAACCACAGCTGCTCCAACCACAACCACAGCAGCTCCCAAAACAACCACAGATGCTCCAACGACAACCACAGCTGTTCCCAAAACAATCACAGCTGCTGCAACAACAACCACAGCTGCTCCAACCACAACCACAGCTGCT